CTGTGACGGTTCCAGACCTGTGACGGTTCCAGACCTGTGACGGTTCCAGAGCTGTGACGGTTCCAGAGCTGTGACGGTTCCAGAGCTGTGACGGTTCCAGAGCTGTGCGGCTTTGGTGTCACAGCGTCTCATAACCTCTACTGATGGACCATTCATGTTCTTTTACTCGACTGTTTGACCCATAGAATAACACTGAAGCATTCTGATGGTCACAGAACATTTACGCAGCAAGTATTTTCCCACTTTTATCAGAATCACTGTGTATATATCAAAGTGTAACATTTATAAACCTACAATAACATAAAAATCTATAGAAAATATTGAAACTGCTGCTTTTCAAGCTAAAATAAGCTCCAGTGCCTTTTCTGAGCTGCAACATCACCTTAGAGGCATTAATGCTGATAGTGGCACTGATATTTTTTAGTTTATAAAGCTAAATATTATAGTTAATTAGGCTTATTAACTGTTTAGCTTTACTTTTTACCTTTTTTCTTGACTTGTTAACTGTTATTTCAGCTTAATTTCCAGTAGGTAATCTATCATTCAGGTCTCATCTAATTGGTCAAATGCTAAAATCAGATGTGCAGCCATATAGCAGGATCTCTGCTGAATGGCTGGATATAGATCTAGTGCTTCTAGACCTCACTGAGGGGGGTTGGTAATGCGTAATGCAGTTGTTAAAACACGCTAAGTTGCCGTGTAAAGGCTTAAAGGCAGCTGTGTCTCTTCCAGGGACGGCACCGTCGTTCCCCCCAAAGCCAACTATGTGGAAGCTGATAAATATGTGCTGCCCTTCGAGCTGGCGTGTCAGTCCAAGTCGCCCCGGATCGTCAGCACCTCGTTGGACTGTCTGCAGGTGGGTTTCCTCTCTCTGGTGTTGCTCTATGCAGTGAGCGCCGTCTGTTTGCTCTCGTTGGTCTTACTCATGGCCCTCAGCTGTCAGCGGAGGAATAAGGAGGCGAATCGGTTTCAGTAGAACAGCCTGCATGCTGGGCAGACTGTGGTGCTGCTGCTTTGCAGCGTGAAGGTTGTTGGTTTGATTCCCAGACTGGTTTATTTCTGCTACAGTTCTGCATGTTCTCCATGTGCAGCCGTGGGTTCTCTCTGGATACTCTGGCTTCCTGAGACATGACCATTAGGTGGACTAGTTACTCTAAAATGACCTTAGGTGTGCGTCATGTTTCAGCTACAGCTCCTCTCACACCTTGAC